GATGTTTTTGAAACTGCGTTTTTATTTTTAATGTCCATTATTATACTTCAAAATCGTCTTTACGCCGCCTTGGGCCCAAATAGGTACAGTGTACACCCCCGGCTAACTTTTTTTTTGGTAAAAATTCAGGAAATACAAACTATTTACGTATAGGTGTTAAGGTTGGTACTAGGTAGTGAGGTGGCGGGCACTGGAATGCTGGATGACCTTGGTGGCGGCAGCGGGCAGCGTTGTAGACGATAATAGAGCTCAAAAAGTCTTAAATTGTGTTTAACATTTTTAAAAATGTATTATAAGTATTAACACTTTTCAGCTATTTATCTGCAGTGCTAGTACGTATATTTTAATGTGTAAAAGTGTAAAAGTTTATCAGACCCCCCCCCACCACCCGAAAAAAAATCCTGGCTACGCCACTGGAAAATAGGTTAAGTAGATTTAGGGTCTTAGATGATCAAAAAATGTTAGTAATTACTATATAATTATAATATATCTATCAATATAAATAATTTTAGAAATGATTGAAGTTTAACTACATGGGTACATCTCAGGGACTAAAATTGTGTGTAGTACGACACACTTTGTGTAGTACGAAATACTAAGTGTGGAATACGAAATTAAAAAGTGTGTAATGGCCTGTAATAACTACTATACAAGCTTTTTTTTTACACTTTTTTCTTCATTAATTGAAAAATTATTTGATGGTTCGTTGGGAAATAGATAGATAAGAATTTTAAATATTAATAATAATTATTACGTATTATTAGGAGTCGATTTTACAAGTTTTACTTATAGATACAATACTTAAAATATTACAAAATAAAAATATTTCGAATAATGGATACAAATTACAAATAATTATCAAACAATAGTTACTGAATGTATTTACCTATATTTTTTTAAAAGAACCATTAACATATTTACCTATGTTGTTTCAAATCAAAAACAAAATAATGTTATTGTTAATGTTTGAACACTATTTATTATACAATCATTTTTTTTAATGATAGCTATTCCTAAACCTTGTGTTTATTTTTAATTAAATATTAACAATGTGGTAATTGCATTAATTAGTTTTTAAAAAACATTTAATTAATCAATTTCATGTGATTATGTGAGTACCTAATATTGAAGTCTGGGATGTTTTTTCCTAGAATCGGGGATTTTTATTTCGCAATTTACTGTCTATAATAGGTATTGTATAGTATTATTATAGTTCTGTGCATTTATTGCAATATTATGTATAATACCAAATTAATTATCGTACCAATATACGGACATAAATCGTTAACTTGCGATGTAGTCTATACTCTGTAGATAAAGAAAAATAGAAATTGATTACTCTATGTTTATGTGTAGGTATAGATTCAATACACTTTTTTGGTGGGGTGGCAAAGCCCCTCGCGGTAACTAAAAGTGTAATATAAAATTTGTAGTATGAAAAAAATTATATTTTAGCCTCTGGTACATATAATACTACATATAGTTTATATTTTTGTAAAACCATATTTAAGTACTATTATCCTATAGTATGAATATTTTAGTTGTTTTAACAATTATTAATTTATGCCTTTTTTCAAGAATATTAATTTTTATTATTTTATTTTATGCATACACTTGCATGAATCTTTCAATAGCCAAATAAATGATATGGGAAAGTAATTTATAATAATTTTAATTTTAAGTATCACTTGAATGTGTTTTTGTAAAATCATATATTTAATTAAAAATTGAATACCTACCTAATTATTTTTGTTATTTTAAAAATTATTACCAATTATCAATAACTTCACTTGTTTACATGGTAAGGGGTTACCAAAATGTAAAAACTGAAATTTGTAGTGGCGGAAAAAGGAAATATATATTATTGCCCTGGCGGTAAACGGACTTGGCGGTAAACGGTAAGGTCGATTTTGGCGGAAAAGTAGATCACCCGGGAAAGTTGCACGTAAATTCGTTCTCAATTATTTAAAAATTATTTTTTTTGTGTCAGCGGTAAGTTCTTTGTTATTTTTAAGTGTTCTCAATTGTTCGGCCAAAATGTATAACGTTCTCAATCGTCCGATAGCCCTAGGCAGTGCTCTAGGGTTTCCAACCGTCCTACATCTATTTTATTTGTCCTACGTCCAATAATACTTAGGACTTTTTAAAGGACAATAGTATATTTCATAATAATACCTATTTATATTTAATTATATTATTATTATTTGTTTTAATTTTATCATTTTATTCACGGCCTTATATATTATAGCTCCTCTACATCATGGATATAACTATAATAGAAAACAAAGCCATATATTATTACCTACACTAACACAAAAACATTTATGTTTTAAATTATTTTCATTTACACAATATATATCTGATATTTCATCAGTTATAATTTGGTACATACCTATAATTAAGGAAGAAATAATAGGTCCATTGCAAAATTCTTTACAATTTAGGTATTTTTTAACAACAAATTTTACAGAATTGTCTTTAGACTTTACAATATTAACTATTGAGACCAATGCGTTATCATCTAACATGAAGTATTTATCCTTTTCTTTTAATGTATCTATAGTTGTATTTGTTCTTATTAAACTATATTTTCTATAAACTGTATCAGATAATTCTAAAACTGATAGTGAATGTTGATGGATTTCTTTGCTTAAATGGGGCAACTGGGGGTAGAGATCAAACTTAGAGTTATCAGTTTTTTGCTTTTCTACAATTCTATTTAATATTTCCTGTAATGGATATTTTGTAGACTTTAAAGATTTCTTTATAAATTGTAGGTAATTCTCATACCTAAATGCACTGAAACTATCAAGTGGTCCATGTATCATTGAAAACATAGGTAGGTGTATCAAACTATGAACATTGTAGGATATTAAATGTTGACCGTATAATGTAGCATAATCAGTAACCAATTTTTTTAATAATTGAGAAGCTATATTATTGAGCGTCTAACAAGTTTCAGCACATGCTAAAATACGAACAGCAAATACTAAAAGCATAAAATGATTATAAAAAGTTTTCTTTAATTTACCTTGCAAGACAATTGCACCAGTGTACATGACAAAATGTCTCAATTCTGTTGCTTTAAAATACTCAATGTCATCAATAGACCTTGGCAACCGAGCAAATTCAGAAGGCATGTATGTTCTTAATTTTATTAATTCATTGTTTATTTGCTTTTTTTTTTTTGTCAGCTAATCTAATGTCTTTTTTGCCCCTAACCCAAAATTCTATCAATCTTTTTGTTACTCCAAGGCAAACATTGTGCATATAGTCAAGGCATACTACTTCAGTTATATTAATTGGTAAATTCAGTAATGGACTATCCCCTTTATGATAGTCATCATCAAATTGTTTGCGAAATGATTCATCAGTTCTTAATTTTGACTCCGTTCCAAGAAAAGATACACGGTTTTGTAAATAGGTTCCTTCCTCCACACATGATGTGCACCCAAAATAAGCATTATGACTCTTTACATTTAAAAGAAAGGATTTTGCAGGGGCATCACAAACTATATTTGATATCTCTACATTTAACAATTTTCCACATACATACAAACCATCTTTTAATACTTTTAAAATATCCGAAACAAATGGATTAAAAAATTCTTCAACCGATTGAGGCTTTTGGTAACCGTGAAAAATACCAGTAGGAAAAACATTAGTACGCAATTCCTTAAAATTTAAAATAGAAACTAAAATTGGCCATATTTGACTTTTGGAATTTTTACCAAAGGTAAACCATCAATATTAATCCCTATTTTTAAATTGTTGTCAGATATTCCTACATTTTTATAATATAACTCTACAACTGGTATTAACATATTTTCAAAGCCCAAATGAATGTAAGTACCATTAGTCATATTACAAATTGCATGTGTTTTAGGTGTTCTCATAAGAGTACGCACATCTTTGGGTACTTTCAATCCCTCCGACCTCATTATATTAAGTAGTGAATTACAACTATTATGTGAAATTTTATATTCTAAAACCAAATGTCTTAACTTATCCAATAAATTTGTATTACTATTCTCGGATATGTCTTCAATACACAAATTTAAAGTATTTTGGGTTACATTTAATGTTTGAATACCAGATAAGTCTTTACTCAAATTGAGAAGATTGTTACCAACCATTTCTGATGTATTGTTAAAAATACCAGGATTACTGTAGAAAATTGGTATATCAGCAATAATTGTATTGCTTATATTAACGTTTGCGGTCATTTTTTGTTTTTCTACTTGGATAACACATTTTTCTTTTTCATTCTTCAAAATTCTTTTAAAGTGGCGCTTTGATATTGAGGCAATATGTTTCTTTTTTAGATTAGTTGTAGTCTAAAACAAAATGGAAATGTAAAAAAAAAAAATAAGAATTACAGAAAAAATAACAGAAAACAAATTTTTTCAAATGGAGTTTTCTTTATTATATTGAACTATTGTTCACATACGATTATTTAAAATATACTAAATTAAATCAAAACAACTGTTTTCAATTTTACTTTTATTTAAAATAAACTTTAGTTTTTAGCCTGCAGGTAATAACAACATTTTGTCTGTGACTTAACAGATTTAAATAAAAAATATTATTATACAAATTATAATATAACATTGATAGGAAATAATCAAATGTTTAGTGTTCTATTATGTCGAGTATTGGCATGTCTTAGCCAATCTGATACTGTCTTGTCAAAGTCAGATTCTGTAAACAAGCTTGTTGAAACATCTTTGATGACTTCTAATGATTTTAAAATTAAATAAGTTTAAAAATGAATTATTTATGTATTTTTACAATCAAATAATATATTTTAGACAGTTATCAAATTACTCAGTTTCAGTAATTTATGTTCATTGTTCAATAAATTATATTATTTGACTAAGTATATGTAGTTAAGTTTTTACTTTTAATGATTTTAATTAAATGAGAGTCTCCAATTTTCATTTCAATTTTCTGCCCACGTTCTGTTCAAGAACACTTGATGCCAAATTCATTGGTGAAAACTAAACTTTAGCCAAAACTCTATTTAAATGGTTTTTGGGATTAGTACCTCCAACTGACTTTAAAAATGATTCTTTTTGTTAAATAAAAAAAAATTAGTATTTATTCAAATGTAATTGTAAATGAGTAGGTATCTAACCAATTTTGAAACAAAATCTGAAGAGTTTTGGATTTGATTCTCTATCAGATTGAATCCATTTGTACTATTAATTGGGAATAGTGTTAAAAACTCAGTATCCAGATATATTGTAGAATCAGTATTCAGGTTTTAATTTTTAAGATTCGCTTCAATTCCTTCAACTTTTACCAACACACGATTGAGCATAAGATTAGTAGTAATATTTTCTCTGTATAAGTTATTCAGAACTTCAATTAACTTTGGGTTTAAATCATCAAAACCTATTAATATGTCAAATAATAAATTACTAAATAGAAATAATACCTATAATATGATTATATAATAATTTAATGTCATATTATTACCATGAGTATAAGAACTTGTAGTCATGGGGGAGTGACTGGTATTTATACTAGGCTGAAAAAAATTATTTATGTTACAAAATTATAAAGGATATTATGAATCCATAATAGACCTAGACATTTAGTACCTATATTTATTTAGTAATGAATTCTATCAAATTATAGTTAAAATACCTATAGATAGGTAGGTAACTTGATAGTCTAGATAATTTATCAATTATCATTAATTAAAATCAAATATTATATATCTAAATAACTAAGTACATAAGTAAATACCTAGTTGAAATATCAATATTTAATTAAAAATGTTTTCCAGAACAACAAAATTTTAATGAGAACCTATAATAATTACCTGTAATTCTGAAACAGCAGTGTTTAAATGGGTCATTGATGTCGTTGCCTCTACATTTTCCTCGACATTTCCAGAATAATCATAAATTTGTGAGGGAATGTTTTATGGTAGCATTGGTGGTAGCATATTATATATAGATGGGCATGTGTTTTCTGTTTGTAAGTCAACACATAGACTCTTAGACTTTTCCTCAATATAGTAACCACTATTGCCTAAACATTATGTATAACATGGACAGTTAAAAAAAAATAGCTTAATCATAAATTCACTAAAATAATAATTATAATATGAAAATTACTTTACCTTCATTATCACTCTCATCTGAATCACTATCGTTGCTTTTTTTTTGTTTTTTTTTTGTAATATCCATTTCTTCATTTTTCGTAGCTGACGACTCTTCAATAAATTTTTGTTGCTATGCTTTACCAAAATTATCTGAATGTATTAAGGAAGATACATTGGATTAATAAAACTTTATTAATAGTAGATATTACAGATACATCAAGTGATGCACTAAAAAAAAAAAAAAAAACAATAATTTATGAATAATAATAGGTAATAAGATAAACCAATAATAATATTTAAATCAGCTAATATTATGATGTAACTATGTAATTATTTACATTTTACACATAGGCACCTCTAAGGTGTACTTTTGATACCCCGGTAAATTACTATAGGTATTAACTATACTATTATACTAAAAAAAACTAACAAAATAGAATTGAAGTAAGTATGGCCTAATTACAAATAATTAGGTCAGTACCTATATTTAGAAACTAGTAATAGTATGAATTGTTTTTAATAAGAGTGCAATAAGTAATAAGTAAGTAGGTATAATGAATAGTTGAAACGAGTACTTGTCCTAACGTGCATGAGTTCTTTTTACATTTTGTTATAAAAATTTGTCTCTAGTGACGCTCTTGTACTTACATGTACTTGTATATTATACAATAAATAGCTAGCTATCTAAAATTCTTACCATATGTTTTACTACGGCCAACTATCTTTACACGGTATGTTTCCCATAACGGTTCTGGATCAACCGCATCCTTTAACTCATTGCTAGTTACTCTGGTGAGTGGCCATCGACAAAACTTCACAGCACCTTCGGCTAATTTCTCCTTGTCTACTAGCCAATTGGTAGGTATAACACTATAGTCCTTGGACTCGGGAAAAACTGCCAAAACCCATTTTTTTCTGAATGATGACTGAAATATACAATAAAACTTTTGAAAAATTTATAAATAATAGTGGAAAAATACGATTAATACGATATTGTTGTATGTAGACCTAAAATTACTTGTGTAAAAGAAATATTATCAAAATCATAGTAGCTTGAGAGAATAATAAAATAAGAGGACGCTATACCAATAATCAATATGTTTGTTGTCTCTGACTTACAAACGTACTTACGAGTGTATGACATAGAACATCAACATCTCGGTTCACTAGTTTAAATAGTGTGCTGTTTAGGTAGGTAGGTACCTAAGAACATTATATTATGCACAAGTGCCGGCGATTTTTCAGATATTTTAATTTTAAAGCAAGATATGGGTAAGTGAAATATTACAAAATATTTAAAATGATCATATTATCTCAAAATTAAAATATCGAATAAAAGTTGACGCTGAGAATACGTAATGTTCTTAGGTAACTAAAAGTTTGATAATAGGTGAATTTACTCTAATACCTATCAAAAATAACAGCATAATTATTGAAACTAGTGAACGAAAACTTGCCATGACGTAGATGACGTGTAAGACGGAGACGACAAATTTATATGGGTAGCGTACTAGCCACTAGGTATAAGTACTAGGTAGGTAGGTACTTAAAATTTAAGCTATGCATGGCTTGACCTTTTCGTACACACGTAGGTACCATACGAGTTACCGTCTGAAGTCTACAGAAAAAATGTTTTTTAAATATATTATTTCACTTACCTTTTTTAAACTTGGTGCAGTCATCGTACCTATATAGGTACTACCTATACAGTAATTATACAATCAAAAAAAAATGTTCAACACACAGAAAAACCGTTTACAATAATAATTGCAGTGTTAAAAATATTATGACATGTGTGGTGACTGTCGACTGATGGTCGGTGGGTGGTACGGGGTAGGTACTAGGTAGTTAGCTAGCCGCGATTTAGCGGCGAGCGTGGGATATCCCGGATATATATATACAAAATTTGTTATATCTATTTATATTTAATATAAAAATACCACCAGTGGCGCCGAACACGGTATAAAGGTGTGACAGCGGTCACACCTTTTTAAGGGGTGGGTCGTGGGTGGGTAGGTCGTAGGTGGTACTATACTACCGTTAGGTGTCACCTATGCAATACAAAAATAGTAATACCTTATAGTATATTAATATTGTGTATAGTAAAATTGTATAGCACTATAGCTAATAAAGCAATCAATAGTAGTATAGCCACAAATTAAGATATCTTGTATACAGTTATTATGTCTGTATTCTATTAGTAATACAATAAGCGGATAAGGTATATAAATAACATGCAAGAGCAAGACGGTCTCGGTGACAAGTATGTGCATTCGCAGTTTTAATAGTTTTATCTTTCTATTTTGTCATAATAGGTTCATTTAATTTACTATTGATAACAACTATCAGCTGACTATCAGCACCCAGCGATAATTGGGAAAAATGTTTATAAATAGCCTAGTTGAAAATCGTAGGTATTACGATTATCAGATTACAACAAAGTTTTCTAAGGATAACACTGGTCACTGGCAACGTTATAGTTTTTGTTGTCCATGATTTAATATTGTTCTTTATAATTATAAACCATATTATTTCCACCCGTACATCGTTGTTAATAATCCTATTTTCAGTGTTTGTTGTATTTGGTGCAAGGATTGAATTAATATTTTACTATTTTGTGCTTAATTTTTAAATTCAATAATTTCTGTTGTATTGTTTTATTTCTAATAAAAAATAATTAATTATAATTTATAATATCAAATAAAAATGAATTCAGAAATTTGTGTGTGTGGCAAACAGCGAGGAGAGCTCAATAATACAAATTGGATGCGTCATGCAAATAAATGCAAAAAAAGAAAATCCTGTTCAAACAATATAAGTATTGCTAAGTTTTTCAAGTCTTCACGAGTAACAGGTATAATATATTAACTATTATTGCTAAGTATGAGTCCATGAGTTTTCAGCGTTAAATGTTTTTTCTGAAATAGGTAGGTGGTAAATACTTTCAACATTTTATAATTTATTAATATTAGTCTCATGAATTGTTTTAATATATCTATTAAGTAGGTTCATATTTTAATTTTTTAAGTATTCTAGCTTAAATAAAATGTAGTTATCTGTTATATTACTTATTATTTACCCCTGACTTTTTAATTTAATTTAGTTAAATATATCTATTATTAAATACATTTAATATGCTTTAAAAATAATATAAGAAATGTCATGTCTCATTAAAAAAATAAAACCTTGGACCTTGGTTATTTTTATTGTCCATAATAATTATATAAAAATAATTATTTGTATGGATAGTACAATAAAACAAAATGATTGGAAATTATTTAATTTTTTTATTATTATTAGAGATAAATTTTGAAGTAAATCAGTAACGCAAGTTATTCATTGATTATACCTATACTAACTTCCATATTATTTAAGGTCTATATTTTGTTAGTACTTACCTACCTTAATATATATTAATCATAATATTATTGAAAACTTTATTTCATAGAGCCAGAACATAATATTGTGAGTACAGCAGTTGTTAATGACGTTGATGAAGAATACAGTAAAGACAAAGAAATTAGTATGTATTTAATTTATTATGACTTTTAATACCTATACTTGGTATCCAGAGTACCTAATTATTTATATATCATAATGTTATTGAAAATTTGAAAACTTTATTTCATAGATCAAGAACATTATATAGCGAGTACATCAGTTGTTAATGAAGTTGATGTAGGATACAGTCAACAAAAAGAAACTGGTAAGTATTTAATTTATTATAACTTTTAATATACTTGTCACTTGGTAACTAGAGTACCTAAATATTTATTTATCATAATATTATTGAAAATTTGAAAACTTTCTTTTATAGATCGAGAACATAATATTGTGAGTACAGAAATTGTTGATGATGTTGATGTAGAGTACAGTAAAGACAAAGAAACTGGTAAGTGTTTAATTTATTATGACTTATAATACCTATAGTTGGTATCCAGAGTACCTAATTATTTATATATCATAATGTTATTGAAAATTTGAAAACTTTATTTCATAGATCAAGAACATAATATAGCGAGTACATCAGTTGTTAATGACATTGATGTAGGGTACAGTCAAGACAAAGAAACTGGTAAGTATTTAATTTATTATGACTTTTAATACCTATACTTGGTATCCAGAGTACCTAAATATTTATATTGAAAATTTGATAACTTTATTTCATAGATCAAGAACATAATATTGTGAGTACAGCAATTGTTGATGATGTTGATGCAGAATATAGTAAAGATAAAGAAACTGGTAAGTATTTAATTTATTTTTAATCTTGAAACTTTTGAAATTTAGTTAATTTATAAATTAAAATTCTTAAATACTGAAAATATTACACCTAATGTATATTTTATAACATTTACTAAATACATTTTCTGACTATTATACAGGTACAAATGTTTCTATGAATATTGAAATGGAAGATGAATCATTGAATTTTATAAGTGATAATGATAATAATCCAACATATTTACAAGATTTTAATGTAAGAAGCTGTATTGAAAGAAACAATTCAATTGATGATGAAAGTAAGAATAAATAAAATTAAAAACAATTGTTTTAATAGGTTACAATATTGTTAACAGAATTGATTTTTAGTTTTAAGATTTGGAAATGATCCGGCAGTTTTCAGTCAGTTAAATGATCTTACACCTGAGCTTATAGATTTCTTTTTTAAAAATGGATCATCTCAACCATCATCAAATGATTTTTTCAACAAATGTTTTCCTAAAAACAGTTCAGGAAGATCATTTCAT